AATAGGTTATGGGCCCCAGCTTTTAATACGTTTCTGCTGGTTATTTGTAATTGTTATTAAATTGTTTTGTTTTTGGTTATTGATACGTATTACTTGTTATTATTGTTTTATCGTTGTTAATATTGTTTTACCGTTGTTAATATTGTTTTACTGTCGTTATTATTGTTTTGGTTATCGTTTTATTGTATTTATCGTTATGTCTTCAAATGAAAACGCTGTTATAAAGGTTTTAAAGTTGAGTAATGCGACCTATCGCCAATGGTACGATACATTGGTAGATGTTTTAGAGGCATTGGATTTAGATATGTATATTAATGAATTTAAATATGAAAATCGTTCGCCGGAAAATCCAATAACTGGTTTACAAAAGAGCAAAATTGCGAAAGTTCGTAATATTATAAAGCAGTCTTTGGGTAAAGAAGACTTGGAAAGTATTTTAGATTTGAAGAATCCTAAGGAAATGTTAGCGGAATTAGAAAGAAAATATCGTGGCCCTGGTGCCAAGTCAGCTTGGGAATTATTAAAGGATCTTGATTCGATCAAGTTTGATGGTTCTATACCGTGTTTGTTTTCCCAGTTACGTCAGTTGTATTCTGCTTTTGCTGATAAGAATATCAAGTTGCCGCATCATATTATTAATTCAAAAGTTCGTTCAGTTCTTCCTCCGGAATATTCAGATATGTGTACAATGTTGGACATTTATAATGGCGGACGTCTTGAGTCTGATTATATGTCAGATAAACAGTTTGAATCTGAATTATTACGTTTTGATAGAGAGAGAAATTTGGTCAAAACCGATGTACAATCAACTTCTTTGGCAGCTGTTTCGTCTCCGTCTTTACCAGAAATTTCATCAACTACTTTGGCAGCTGCAACTTCCAAGAAACGTTTTAATGGAATTTGTCATTATTGTGGTATTCAAGGTCACATAGAACGTTTTTGTCATAAGAAAAATCGTTCTAACCGTTTTATTAGTAATCAAAGTGTTAATCGTTATAATGGCAATAATGGTGATAATTATTCTAGTAAGAATGAAGCAGTGACTTTAAGTGCTGTTGTTCGTTCACCAAACCCGTTTGTGAATCCTCAGTTATCTAAGGTCTTGCCTTCTGGATCGTTGTCATTGGTCTCAGCTTCTTCTGTTAAATTTTTGGCCGATTGTGGTGCGTCTTATCATATTGTTAATGATCGTTCGTTGCTGACCAATATACGTAATACCAATGGTTCAATCCGAACTTTAAGTGGTGAAATTGTTAATCCAGAACAGGGCGACATGTCTTGTCATTTGTTTAATGGTCAAAAGTGGATTCCTATGGTTATCAAGGATGTGTTTTATGTTGCTGATCAACCGTTTAATCTTATTGCTATCGGTAAAATTTGTAACAATGATGGTTTTAGTCAATGTTTGAATAAGAATGGCATGATTGTTTATCGTTATCGTAAACCTATTTTGATTGGCAATTGGAGTAATGATTACGTTAATCTTATTGAGTTGCTTATTCGTGTAAATGGTTCGTCTACCGGTATTGTTAGTGCGGTTGCTAGTGCTGCTGCTGTTAATTCGTTGTCGTGTTGGCATGAACGTTTTGGGCATTTCTCTGTTAAATCTATTGCTAAAATGGTTCGTCAACAATGTGTTACTGGCATTCCTTTACGTCTTAAAGATGATATTGATTTCTGTAGTTCTTGTTGTCTTGGTAAAACTACGGATGTTTCTCATCATTTAGAGAATGATGTTGATCATATTAAACCGGGTTTCAAGTTGCATCTCGATATTGGTGGTTATTTGGATCCGTCAATTCATGGTAATAAATATTTTCTTTTGGCGGTCGATCATAATTCTCGTTATATGAAAGTGGCTTTTATGAAGAGTCGAGATCAGACGCTCGAGAAATTTAAACGTATTGTTAATGAAGTTAAAATGGATATTGGTGTAGATGTTTTATGTATTCGTACTGATATGGGAACAGAATTTTGTTCAAATTCTTTTAAAAGATATTTGGAAGAACGTGGAATTATTCATGAAAAGGCAACTGTAGCTACTCCTCAGCAAAATGGAAGATGTGAACGCGCTATGCGCACGTTAATGAATCATTCGGTCTCGTTATTATCGTCTACAGATCTGCCACGTAATTTATGGGATGAAGCGGTTAATTGTACTGCTTATTTGTTTAACCGTGTGTTGAATTCACGAAATGTTATTCCCTATCAACAATATTTTGGTCGCAAACCCGATGTTTCAAATCTGAGAATTTTTGGATCGGGGGGAGAAGCATTGGTCAAGGATCGTCATAGTAAATTTGATCCAAAAACTAAGTTTGTTAGGATGGTTGGCTATCAAGGTGAATCTATTTATCGCGTGTTTGTACCATCTACTCGTCGCATTGAATTATGTTCTTCAGTTATATTTAATGAAAAGCCTAAATGTTCTTTTGATGTCAGATCAAATGTAAATGAATCATCGAATGTCATCAATGATGCTGATAATTTTATTTCTGTCAGTGAGTCATCTGAGGGTGGCATCGATGTTAACAATGAAAATCGTCGTGGACCTGGTCGTCCTGTTGGATCGCGAAATCGTTTGTACCAACGTGATGAAGAACGAATTGCTTCTTTACGTCAATTGCCTAGTCGTTCTTTTGTTGGTGTTGGTGTTCAAAGTAAAGTCATACAAAGTCATACAAACAATAATTTATTTCGTAATCGTGATTCAATTTTACGAAATGTTTGTGTTTCAAGTTTTTGTAAAGTATGACTTAATTCTAAATAGGGGGGAGTGTTGTAGTATATTTAGAATTTAGTAATTGAATTATACTTAGATTAATATAAATATGTGAACACTTGAGTTAAATAAAGCTAAGCGTAATTCGTATCAAATTTTACTCTGTCNGCTACCGGTTGTTTGATGCCAGGAAAACCATCGGAAAAAACAAACATTCCTTCGTCGAGAAGAAATTCAAATTCTTTGATCCCTTTACGATGGAATGTTTTGGCAATTTCCTGTGCACCATCTTGACCCATTCCTTCTTCATCATGACCGAATGCAATATAAAATGATCGTTGTGGTTGGAAATTATTTTTCAATAAATATTCCAATGATTCCATAATGGCCTTTTGAAGAATAAAAAAGTTTGAAACAAAAAACCCAATCACGATGATGGACATACCATAAGAGTATCTTTAACATCGATCGTACCACGACCATAGATATTATTATCTTTGATGATACCACCGAATGGATCAACTTCCCATTTATCTAATTCAACTGGTACAACATCAATATGCGAACAAAGTAAGTATGGTTTTAACGATGAATCACTTCCTTTTACATGATATAAAAGGCTATAATTGTTAACCGTTTCATAAGTAACCAATGATGATGAATAAATTGTTGGAAAATCTATTTCATTGAATAAATTTTAATTTCTATAAACATTGTTGATTGAATGAAAAAAAACATACTTTTACGTAAAAATTGAGCAAATCGTAACAATTCTTCACGGTCATAAACACCTCTATCCGTGGTTATTGTTTTGATACGTAAAGCTTGAGTAAAACGTTCGATTATGATATCACCTTGAATCGGTTCATGTGTTTCATTACAGATTTGTAACCCGTTCGGATACGGGAAATAGATTTCGGCACGAAAAAATAATACAAATAATGGTATGATGATAATTACCATTAATAATGGTAATATTTTACCCGCAAAAATTCCCATTTTTTTATTTATGCTGTCAATATATTTGTCCTTTGGCCATATATAAGATGAGTATTCAATGAGTACATTCAATTAGGAGATGATCAAATAAATTTATTTTTTTATTTTTTATTTTTTTTTTGTTTTGATGAGATAATTTTGACGATAATAAATAAGATTGTTCGATCGTTGTTCGGAAGCAACATGTGTATTTAATTTTTGATTTTTAAAAACAATAGATGGCATTGCCAAATATATTTTTTTGTTTGTTTTTTGTTTTTGTTTTTGCTTATTTGGTGTTGGCGAAACAATAAAAAGAAAGTGATGTTGAAAAGCAATTTTTTTTGCGTGTTTTATTAGATTTCGAATGTGATTTGTTTAGGTAATTTTATCCGAATTATATCCGATCAAATATCTACTTTTATTCAGGGTTTCTGGGTAACGATGAAAATTGATTCGATTATCATTGAATTCATCACGAAGAAACGAATAATGTTGTTGCTCGGCAACTATCATTTTATTTGTGTTTTCGGATCATGATTTTTTGAAAATGTAAATGATAAAAAAATACTTCAATCGCATAATATTTATCGCGCACAAAACCAAAAAATAATTCAAAGAAACAAAAATGCATTTTTCAATTCCCGAAACCAAAGAAATCAAAAACGGTTTCAAAACATTTATTGTAAGTTTGAATTGTTTGTGGTTTTTCCCTAATCAATCTTTTTTTTGTGTTTATAGACGTATCAAATTTATATAAATGGATCATTCCATTGTTCGCTAAGATATCGACAGCTTTATCATTTTCATATTCAGCTCAAAAAAGTATTTGGTGCAAATTCATTGCCCAATTTTCCGCCTAAAAAATTTTTTCCATTAAATTCACAACATATCGAAGAGCGACGATCACAGCTAGAAAAATATATTCAAATCGGTAAGTAAATGATAATCATTTGTTGATTTTTTTAAAAATCATTTTTCATTATTACAGTAAGCCAAGATTCACAAATAATCAACAGTGATATTTTCAATGGTTTCCTTCTGGCAGCTCAACAAGAATCACATAACAATGATGATGACAACAACGACAACAATTTGGATATTTATCAATTAGATTGGCAGCCAATTCGATTGACGACTAATGGTCAAGAAAATAGTGAAAATGTATTGCGAAAATTTTGTCAAACAATTCAAATGAATTCGAATCATGTACCATATTTTGCATTATTTTTAATCGAACGTTTTATCATGATTGATAATAATGATAATGATAATAAGCCAAAACATTTTCGTATTATAAGACGATTACAAAATTTCGAATCACCATTATTAACATTACGAACAATTCAAAATAGAATGGTTACTTCAAATCAACAGCATAATAATATTATAATCATTATATATAAATCATATTTTAATATTGAATTTGATCAGGATTTATTTGATGATCAAATTGCATTGAATTGTATATTTCTACAAACTGTACAAGATATTGAAAATGGTCATATTGTTTGTAATGATCGTGATACCAGAAGACGATTAAATCATTTGAAAATCAAACAAGATAAGCTGGAGGTTTGGAAATTTTTCTTTTACATTACATTATTTTGATAATTTTCTTTTTCTGTTGTGTCCAGTATATTCGATTGGCAAGGTTACAAAAATTTTATGGCTATTTTCATTTTGAATCATGTTATTGTGATCTACCATCAATGCCAGCCAAAACGAATGTAACAATTTTCGCTGGTAATCAAGAGCTTATAATTCGTGTGGACAATCAAGATGTAATTATAATTTTGATAATTATAATTATGATTTGTAATTGTTTTTATTCATTTTATAGCAAGAATATAGTTTTCGTATAATTCGTATAAAATGTTGGAGATTAACAACATCGACTGCGAATAATAATAATAATCCACAAACAGATTTGGAAATTTTGGAACATGAAGAATCAACAACACAGGAAAAAGGACGATTTGAATTATCATTCGAATATCTAATCAATAAAGGAACTTTACAATGGATTACTATTTACAGTTCACAGGCTGTTTTAATCAGTTATTGTTTGCAAAGTATGGTCGAAGAAATGTTGCTGAAACGTGAAGGGAAAAAATTCCGTTCCGAAGGTTTGACCATCCGATATAATACTAGCCCAAATTTACGATTAACTAATTCAAATCAAATTGATGATCAACTAACCTTGACAAACATTAATGACAACAATTTAACAACATCAACAACAGCGAATAATGATAATAATTTTGAATGGAATTATTATAAACAAGATGGATCATCAACAAAATTTCCATTATCAACATCATCATCGACAACAACATTGACAAGTGAAAAAAGTCATTGTAGTAGTAGTGAAAAAAGTATCCAGCATAATGATCAAATTGAACAAAAACCAAATGGAATGACCGATCCATTAATGTTACAGCAACGATTTCAAGAAATATCGATTGTTGAGAATAATATTTTCGATGAAATTGGTGATGATGATTTGTAAAAAAACAATGGACAATCTTTTTTTTGAAAAATAATTTCTTTTAAATTTATTTGTCATTATTATTTAAGAGAAAAAAACAAAAAAAGAATTCAAAACATTTGATAAGAATTATAATCACGTGATGAATCGGCTTTGTCCGTTGTCGTTTCTAATGTTGTGCCAAGAAATTCTTCCAATTGTTTTCGTTCATTATCATCATCATCTTGATTATCATCAACATTTGCCGTTGATGATGATAATTGATTTTTTGTTTTCAATTTTGTCGATTTCTTTTTCTTCGTACCCTGTTGTGGTTGTTGAATATCACCATTTTGTTTATTAGATATTTTCGAGGATTTCTTCTTCTTTTTTGTTACACCACCATTGACCGAAGATTTTTCATTGATAGTGATCGATGATGATGATGGTGGATTATCATTCTGATTCGTCGATGAATGTTTAGAAATGTACATATTTTCTAATTCTTCAATTTCATCGATATTCAGAACAGGATTTTGTTGTTGTTGATTTTCATCATTCGATTCGATTGTTTCGGATTCTTTTGTCTTTTCATCATCATCAACATGATGATCTTCGGGAACAGAATCGATTCTGTTTTCCACACTTTTCACGGGATCTAAAGGTCCAGTTGATTCAATCGTTTTATTCGTAATTTTAATAGATTCGGCTGTAATCAAATCTTCAGGATCTAATTCTTCTTGATATTTGGCTACAATTTGATGATTGTTTCCCGTTGCAGTATCATCATCATCGGTATCTTCTTCATCAATAACGGGTGGTAAATCTGATTGAGGTAGATTTGGTTCGTCCAAAAATTTTCGGAAAATATTCTGTTCACCATCATCGGGTATAAAATCTTCTAAATTTTTCATCGAAACCGAATTATTTTGTTGTTGTGCAATTGTTGTTGGATTTTTATTTGTTTTCGTTTTCTGAAATTGTTGCTGAAATTTTGCCGGTAATGGATTATTTGCACCGATTATAATGCTAGGCATTGGTTTTACAATGACTGGTTCATTGCTATTGATTTGATGATTTTGTGAACAAGAATGATCACCATTAGCCGCCATCATTTTTGACATATTGGCAGGCATTGAAACACTTCGACTAGGTAACATACCAATCGTTGGATCACTACCAATCTTTGTTTTAGTTGCCGATAATTGATCAGCCATCATTCGACGTTTATTGGTAAGCATTTCCAGAAAATTATCATAATCATCATTATCGAGCATAGTATCTAATTCTTGACAAGTGGCATCCATTTCACAATGATTACGTTCCAATTGTTTGAGCATTGTTTCACGTTGAAGATGTAAATAAGGTAAATTGAAAAATTTATATAAATATCTTAAACCAAAACCATTACGCATTGAACATTCGGAATATCTTATCTGTCCGGTTCGTGTTCGTCCAGATTGTTGATCTTCCTGTATGATTGATTCAATAAAACCATGAACCTGATCACTAGTTATCGAACGATGATGTCCCATATCACGATGATTAGCTAATATTAATATAGGAATGTTTCGTGGACAATGATGAATTTCACGTTGTATATAATCGAATGTCCATGATTTAGTCATATCGAATAGAAATATAACACCATTTGTACCTTTATAAACATCAACAAATTCAGCATCCAATGCTGGTGAATCATTAATGTTTGTATCATTTTGATTACTTTGATTATTATTGTGCATTTTTAATACATTTTGATCTTTTGCTGTCGATGATGATTGTTGATGATTGAAAATTTCACGTTTTTTTCCTTTATCAACAACATCCCATATTTCAACTTTGACAACATCATCGGTTGCATTATAATTCCATTGTATACTAGCTACTTTAATCTCTTCACTTGCAACATATTCTTCATGAAATTTATCACCTTGTAAACGATAATAAAGACAGGTTTTACCAACATTACGATCACCACGTATAATAATTTTCACTGAATAAATGGATGGAAAAATTTAACAAAAATCCAAATCAATATTAACAAACTTACTATTATATTGAATACCACGAGCAAATTTTTTTTGTAAATATTGATCCATAGGTCGATGGCCATTTTTATTCAATAATTGTTGTTGATGTTGTGGATCAGAATTTTGTTTCTGAAATTTTTTCAATATAAACATTTTTGTAGTTGTTTTGATTTAATAATAACGATAGATAAATAGATAGAACGATATTTTATCGAATCAAAAAAAAATGAAATACCATATGGTATCAATCAAACAGAAATTGAAAATATTTTTGAATAAAATTTCATAATTTTCTTGTTTTTCACGACGAACAAAAACAAACGAAATATGAACAAATTGACGTTGATGACGTGTGTGTGTGTATGTGCGATGGTGAATTGAATGTTGTTCAAGATTATCAATGCATGACATACATTTTCGGTAATGATAATTATTTATATATCAGGTCAACACACAGACAGCTATATGATTTTCAATGATGATGATGATCGGTTTGTTCAACGGATCTCACAAGAAAAAAAAACCCAAACATAAAATTTGTTATGGATAAAACACTGCGACATTTATATAATCCATATGACTGACCATAATAATCATCATTATCAGTTTGATTTTTTGTTTTGATATAGAAAATTTATCAAAATGAAAATATCTCATATCTCTCTCATTGAGTCAATTGGGAAAAAATGCGAAAAAAAAGAGAAGAAAACAATCATCAACAACTTTTTGATGTTCTGACAATAGATGGCGCCTGCTTGTCCAGTTTTTTTTTTTGTTGTTGGAATTTGAAACGCAAAAAAATTCGGTTATTCATTCCGGGAATATTTGTTTTCTCCAGAGACTGACGATATATGAAAAACAATTACAGTTTACAAATAAATAAATATCGTTGGTGATGAGAACGATAAAATGCAAATAAGCTTCAGGGGAAAGATGATGATGATGATGATGAAAAAAAAGTCAAACACGTGACTTGATTTGAGGGGTTTTATTCAATTCCGAAACTAAAATTATAAATTGATTTTCAATGAAGAAACGAAACAAATAACTAACACGTATTAAAAAGGCCCAAAAAAAAATCAAAGGACAAAAGAATTTTTAATTTTTTTCCATCATCATCATTTACATTACAAAAAGAATCATTTGCATTTGAATTGCGTAATTCGAAAAAGAAAGTGAGGGAAAAAAATTGTATGATTAAGTAAGTGAATGACACCGACCAAATCGATCGATCTATCGATCGGACTGCGCGTGTTAATTTTAAACGCGTGTTATCCACACAAACACCACGTGAAAAAATTCCCCATATCCAATGTGTTTGATTCAAGCCAAATCTAATTGATTTTGAACAAAAACAACAAAAACTATATGTGACAATTAGTAATACACACATCTTAGACGTGTTTTCATCATCATCATCATTTCAGGTCATCAATCTCGTATAGAGAAGTAACACACATCACACACACATATGTATCTTGTCATTTCAATTTTTTCCAATGGATTTTTTTCAATCAAATCCATATCATCAATATGATGATGTTCAACAAACACACACGTGTCACACGGATGATGATGGATGTTTTGGATCAACAGAAAAAAAATTTACAGAAAAAATGACCATTCGGACTTCTATTGGAATGAATCATTTATTCAAATTGGAATGATTTCCTGTATTTCTCGAATGAAAATCATCATCACTTTTTCATTATTCGATTTGTAATGATTAATCGATTGATACATTGTGTTTTCATTTGTTTTTTCTACCGTGTTTGTTTAAATTGGAAGAAAAACCATTGAAAATTTATCCAGGGAATTTTCTTTCGTTTCCGAAAAGTTTTCCATTTCACAATTGATGACGCCGAAAAAAACGACCACCGACCAAAATGAATTTCGAGAAAAACGAAATGGTTGAATGAATTTTTTCTCTCATTGCTGAATTTAAATTGGATTTTCTGTTTGATTAATAATAATAATTTTTTGCAGGTAGATAATGAACTTTAACCATATAACAAAACAAACATACAAATCATTTTCGATAATAAGAAATTACTATGATCATGATTGGTAAGTGCTAAATTAAAGTAAAGAATTTTCTTTTTTTTAACCAAAATATTTTTGGTAAAATCCACAAAGTTCACAATGATCATCGATGACATCCAGAATTCAATTGAATTTCAAATGATGAGAAAATGTTCATCGAAGCGTTAATTGCGATTTTTCTGAATGAAAAAATAATTTCTTGTAGCGTGAGAGTATCATATATATCGACAACAAATAAATAAATACCATCATCATGTGAAACGAATGAATATTTTTTTGATGATTCAATTTTCGATTGTGATTTTTCCATTCATTCTTCATTGATGATAATTATATAATAATGATACATTTCATAAATAAATATTAGATTATGATCATCATGATGAGAATCAATCATAATTGAAATCACCTTTTGATGACAAAAATTTTCAATCAATTTTTTTCGAGAGAAAAATTCATTCGCCAAAATGCCATGAGCGATTCTGATATCGTTGATGACCACTGGTCATCATCACTATACGGCCAATAAAATATGATGTGACACGTGTTTGAAATGGTTGAAACGCGTGTCATTTTTTTGTTTGTTTGTTTGAATGAAAAATTTGCAAACAAACAAACAAACTTTCAATTATTCGGGCATATTTGTTTTGAAATAAATAAAATTTTACAAACAAAAAGGATAAGCGTGAGATTTCAGTTTAAGTTTACAATTTAAATTGGAAAAAATGACCAGAAAAATATCGTTTGATTCATTGAATTTGCAATGGAACTGACTGACTGACTGAATCCATTTTATCGAAGCGGTTAAGTTGTTGTGGCTTTAGTAGAACATAACCACACACAGTGTTGTTCAGAAAGCCAAAAAATATGGGCACCATAATAAATCACTTGAATCAGCTCTTTTTTCTCTCCATTCTCAAACAAACAAAACAAAACAAAAAAACATTGCAGGCCGAAATTGAATAGAATCTGAATTTTTTGTTTTTGCTTTTTCTAGTTTTGGAAATTAAAGTGTTAAAAATTCTGTCAATGAGCATAATATGATGATGATGCATATGTTGCACTTATCAACCAACCCAAACCAAACCAAACACGCACATCATTTATATATAGAGATATATGAATGATGTGAACCAGAAATAAATCAAACAAGCGCAAAAAAAAAATAAAATATCGATATTTGATAGAGAAAAAAAGAAAGAAAAATCAATCGATATTCAACGAAGCAAAAGAGAAATCTTTATTCGAAAATCGTTCTCTGTAAACAAAAAACAAACACGTGTAATGTTGACCATATCAAATTGAAAAAAAGGATCCATTTTTTTCACCAAAGGAAAATGAAAGAAAAGGATTTTGTTACTAAGATGGAGTACAGAAAAAGATAAAGAAGCCATCCAACCAAAATACCCAAAAATAACGATTTCGATAATGTGTGTATAAAATATCTAATTTTTTCGGTTTGTTTTTCGTTTCGCTTTTTTTTTGATTATCATTTCGCATCATCAACACATCAGCGACAATTTTTTACCATTGGATATACTGGCTGACTGTACCACACATCAGGATTGGCCTAATGTGGATACAAATGGCGCGATATATACATGTTATATATTCACTTTCAAGGCACCGGTCACATAAAATCATTTTAAATTTTATATGGACCGCCCAAATATATATCAAACAAGGGTTTATAAACCAAAAAAAGATTGGTATATATTTATATAACCAACCAGAGAAAAAAACAGTAGCAAAAAATACAAACAAAACCAACACAACACAGTAATGTACAGCAAAAAGACATGGATGAAAATATTTCTGGTTCACACAAACACACATAGAAAATATATCTCTATGTGATGCATATCTCTCTCCACACATTCTCATAAGCATAGGGAGGCAGATACCATAGAAATTGTGTTTTTGTATTTTTTTTGTCTGTAGGTTTTTTTTTTTGTTGAAATCGACTCAGTTCCAGAAACCAAACCAAAAATATTTTGTGGAGATAAAACTCCAAGTTACAGAATGAATAAATGATTTTGCCATGCCCGTTTTTATTGAAAATTTATAGATAGACAGTGAGAGAGAGAGAAAGAGAATAAAAGTTTTGGGCGCTAAAGATATCCCAACAAACAAACAGAATCAACATTCAAAAAATATCGTCTTTTTTGAATCGAATATGATCCTATCCAATTTTTTTTTTCATTTCTTTTATTATTGGTTCTATTTGATGCAACTGTGATGTTTTTCTCTCTCTCTCTATTCATCTTTTTTTCTCTATGATTTTTTGCTGTGAAGAAGCGGTATTTTCAGCAAACAAGACAGCGAAAGAAGACGAGTATAGAGACCTATAGAGATGTATCATTGATGATGAAAGCATATGGAAAGAGATGATCATTGATGATTGAAAATATTTTGATTCGGATGTTGTTGTTGTTGTTGCAAACAGACATGATGAAAACATAAAACATGTCATCACTATCATCTTACATTTCAAAAACATAAACTTTTAAATCAAAATGGTGATGATGTGAAAAATTGAGAATTAAGAATTGTGATTGACTATTTTGTGTGTGCAAAAAAAAATTTCTTATCCAACGTTTTTCAACGGATTGTGTGTTGTTTTGTTTTTTGTTGATCATCAAACATTTCAAATTTTCATTCTTACTGCTGCTTAATTTCTTTGAAATTAGAAAAAAAAATCAAGGTAAGTGATAACTTATTACCAAAAATCAATAAATCAAAAAATGACCACAAAAAATTCATTTCAATCATCATCATTATGATGATGAAACCAAACAAAAAGAAAAAATCGGGTTTCAAATTAATTATTTCCATTTACGGTTATTCTTAATGATTATGGTTTTGTTTTTTTTTCGGGCAAAAATTTCTTTCATTCAGAAATTCTCAGTTTCTTTCTCCATTCTATACCCGAAAAACGAGAAATACAACCAAAAAAAAAACCCGATCCAAATCGTTCAGTTTGGTTTGGTTTTTTTCCCTTAATTCTTTGCTTGTCGACGACAACGACGATGGTTATGCACAAACACCAGCTGTCTACACCGGTTTCTGATTATACACAGTTGACAGTTGGATTCTTTCGTTTATTTTTTCGTATTTTTCGTTCCAGAGTTTCACCACCATCACCGACTAATTCAGAAACAGGGTTCTGCATCAAAAAATGTCCGAATGACATTTTTTTCCATCCATCCATTTGA